TTTTTATCCTTGCCATGATGATAAATAACTTTATCTTGATAATGAATCATATTCTGACAAATTAATTATAACTTACCATAATGAGAAATAAATTTATCCTGAGTACAGCAGACACACAAGACCTTGAGGACACATGCCTGAGGATTCTGATGAAGATATGATGTCCAAATATGTGCACAGTTGGACCTACTGGCCAGCTTTGAAACAGTGGAAGACCTAGTTTCAAATTCAAGGTTGCTTCGAGTAGAAATTCACTTTACCTCTCTTTGCATGGCAATGGGGCCAATCTTCCCTAAGCTACCCCTTACAAGAAAAGGAATCATACTGGTAATAATTCAGACTTCAGCAAACATGGGTAAGTAAGGAAGTCTTATAAATCTATTCTAGCCACCTAGCAAGAAACCAGGAATTTAGCAAGTTCGTTCACATTCAGAACAGTTGTGTTCACTAGATCAGAGGCCCTGAGACATGAAGAACAGACCCCCTAACAAGGGAAAGTATTTCTTCCTGTCCTCTGATATCACTGCCAACTTCAGGGAAGTGGGAACACAGCTGCCCGCTTTACAATATGGGTTGCTTTTGTCCTTGGAATGTGTCTGATTTATGCTTCAACGTCCCTGTACCCATTTCAGGGAGCCTCGGGAGGAGCCTGAATCACTGATGGAATTGGGCAGTGCATGGAGATGGTTGAGCAGGATGAGGGTAAGTGCGGGGCATGGCCAGGTCATACTGGGAGACAGTGAGCGGCACTGATGGGGACAGACAAAGATAAAGTCAAAAGTGTGTGCTTCAGTGTCAAAAACTCAAACCAATAACTAATTTGCTTTTATAAGTAATAAGTATTTTTCTATTTACATGAGGATTTAATCTCAAAATAGAAATCATAGGAAGAGTAAGTCCAGGGCATAAAACCTAAACCATAGCTCATATTTATTCTTTCTAAATAGAGCTATTAGCAAAATCTTCTTCATAAAAAATGTATTGTGGATATAAGAAGGCAAAAGTTGGCCAGGTATGGTGGCTCACGCCTGTAGTCCCAGCACTTTGGGAGGCCGAGGCGGGCAGATCATGAGGTCAAGATATCGAGACCATTCTGGCCAACATGGTGAAACCCTGTCTCTACTAAAAACACAAAAATTAGCCAGGCGTGGTGGCACATGCCTGTAGTCCCAGCTACTCGGGAGACTGAGGCAAGAGAATGTCTTGAACCTGGGAGGCAGGGCTTGCAGTGAACCGAGATTGCATTTCAGCCTGGTGACAGAGCAAGACTCTGCCTCAAAAAAAAAAAAAAAAAAAAAGAAAGAAAGAAAGCAAAAAAGCTAAAGTCTTAGTGAAAATCATTGGTATTCCATAGAAGAGAGACATAAATATAGCCAAGGGAAGACCACATCTCATACTTCTCTTGTATATTCCAAAGGTCCAGGGAAATTCCAGGTAATAGAGGATATTTCCCACACTGTTAAAGCAAGGTTGCAGATGCTTCTGATTTTGGGCCCAATAATTTAGGAGGGCACACCTCTGTCCTGGAAGATGATACAGGAATGAATACTCTTCCTGTGACTCATTCTGGTCATTCGTCCAACATCACGGAAACCAAAAACTGGAAATCTGGCCAAATTCATGATTTGCTAGCCCTCTTGTTCAGGTTTCTTACCTGATTCTTAGGAGAACAGCGTTACCTTGAGGATTATGATGAAGATATGCTGTCCAAATATGTGCACAGTTTTGAGCAAAATGCCTGGTACAAATTGATCAACAAATAATTACTGAATAATTGTATGAATATTTACAGAATGACATGGATCCTATGAATAATTATGGAATAATTGTTGTGATTGCTTTTATTAGTAGTTCTCAAAACTCATCTCTTTGAGATGTCGAGTAAGCCCATAACTTTGTGAACCTGTAGTTTCATCGTTTTTATAATGAAGAAACCTGACAGACTTTCCTTCTGTCACAGAATGTCAGGCCTCCCAGACCCCAGAACATGTGTATACATAAAGCCTTTGATGTATGTCAAAGCCGTATGCTTACAGTGTTGCTGGAGGATGATGGGGGCTGTAGAGAGGCACGCTTTCCAATGGGATTGATCCAGTCCTCCTTGCTTCACTTCCACATGAATGCTGGACAGCCAAGGGTCACACCCATTGCACCCTCAACTCAGGCAAGCCCAGAAAGCAGCCAAACATAGGAGATGTGGGCTACAGAACAGTCTCCCAAGTCCCAGGCTCACAAAACCTGGGTGGCGATGAAAGCTGAGAAAGTGAGGAGGTGGTTCAGGGGATCACTCTTCCCTACTTGTTCCTGTCATCTCAAATTCACCTCCTACTGCACAGCAACACGGAGGACCACCAACCACCCCGACCATCACCTTGATGTTACGGTGTTTAGTTAGTGGGATGCAACCACACCTCAACGGTGTTAGACCAACTCAGAAAAATATCTCTCAAACAGTATTCCATAAGGACCGCTCATGGCCTTGTTATTTTCAGTATATGGGAAAAAATGAAATGAAAACAACAAAATCATATCAGGTTTACAAGACTTCCCAAGATAGATGGTTACACATGCTTTCAGGAGATCTCCATAGAAATAATTTCAATGACTTAACACCTTGAAAAGAGCTCTTCTGGGACTAGAATGACATCTATAAGTGACAAGCATGAGATGTAATGTTCAGTCACATTAAAAAAACAAATCATCCCACATGGAGGAAGCTTTGGACATAGGAATGTCAAGCTGGTCTTAAGTGTAATGAAAAGTCTCTTCTGCCACAAACATCAGCGTAGTGATATCTGCCAGTAAAAAAAAACTAAATCAGCATAACCACGGGATACAGCAAGAAGAATATCGAGCCAGGAAAGAAAACATTTTTAAGAAATGAATTATTCATTCATTTTCTAGTGGATACAGAAAAAACTGCAGCAGACTCAGAGGATAACATGGTAGTGTAATAGGTTGATATGTTAAACTTGTGGAGAAGCCTTCAATTCTGTTTTAACATATGAGAAGGAGGGATGACTGACTTTATGACTAGCATTAAGAAAATATCACATGTTGGGAAACTGTTTCTGTCATGATGATTTTATACACATAAGAGATGAAAAGTGAGGCACATGCTTAGATATATTGGGAATGAGATGGGACTGTGGCATTGTCACAAGTGTACACAAATACTGAGAGTGACTGACAGAGGAACAGTCCCCATCGGTTGTGACCTCAGGTGAGACCAGGAGGCCTGTGTTTTAGCAAACCCTGGGCAATTGGAATGAAGGGCTCCTAAGATTCCATGACATGCCCAGCTTCTAATTCTGTTATTGCAACAGCAGGCCATTACCTGGGACTCTGGCCACTATCTCCCACACTCTTGTCAGAGCCTGAGCTACAGGCAGCACCTTCAGCTCCCAGCTGAAGCATTGCGAACCTTGTTTTTGCGGTTAAGGACCCTGAAGTGCTGTGAGGATCAAATTTTTCTCAACAGTAAGTTAAGAATTTGAGTTATTGACATTCCCCAGTCCTGATTAAACCTATTTTATTTCCAGTTTTTAACCCATCATGTGTTTGGGTTTCTTCTCCCCAGCCCCTGGCTCTACCTGTGGTGTCCCAAATGTCAGCATGGCGACATCTGGCAGGACTTGTTCCACGAAAACCACAGAGGTGAACTTTCCACATACCATCGACAATTCCTACTCCCAGCAGGAAGAGACCAAACAGAATATCAGAGACAGCAAAACTAGACTTCTTCTGAGCCAGGTGGCCTACTTCCTGAACTACCAGCTGAAGACATACAGTAAGTTCTATAGGTTGACCACCACGAAACTGATGAATGAGGTCCTGTCTTGTCTTGAGAAACTAACCATTCTCTTCATCAAAATTAGTTTCATTCTTCCCATACTTGTAAAGAATAGCAATGGGTATTTTAACATTTAGTTAAAGATGGAAGACAGAGGACAAAGTATTTAGCAACTTTTCCACGTCTGCAGTAAGGTGGCTGTGGGACTAGGGTTACAATCCCACCTATTGATTTCTGACACAGGCACAGAACCACCTGTTTTTCTCAGCAAAAGGCTAAATCATGTTTACAGGAATCCTCTCTGTACCATATAAGATCCTGCAGACAAGTAGCATCTAGTCTGTTGGTCTAAATGTCTGGGGTTCTTAACTTTCATTTGGTTCCAGTTTCTGCTGAGGCCCAGTAGGCAAAGCTGTGTTCTGGGGACACTGGGGAAACACAGTGATAGCACACAGTACCCGCTGTGAGGGCTTGAAAGGAACCCTGCTCCTAATAGAACCTGTGGTATGTGTAAGTGGCACCATCAAGAGCAGGGAGTACCCTGGTACTGGTGCCTCAGCCTCCCAATTAACTGGGATCCCCGGTGGGCACCACCACACCTGGCTAATTTTTGTATATTTAGTAGAGGTGAGGTTTCACCATGTTGGCCAGGCTGGTCTTGAACTCCTGCGGTCAAGTGATCTGCCCTCCTGGGCCTCCTAAAGTGCTGGAATTCCAGGCGTGAGCCATCATGCCGGCTCCACAGATTCTTTTTTAAGTAAGGTTGTTAGAATTCATCTGTTGGTCCAGTCTCCTATATAAATTTCTCTAACCATTCATTGACCATGATATATGATGAGATAAATCAATATTGCAGCAATCCTTCTGGAAAGTAGTTAGGGCAATTTTTGGAAGATTTTTGGGAAAGCATTTTAATTATTTGCACTGATTTAGGTCATAGGATTAGTGATTAAGATCTACCAGATGAGGGAGACTTTGTTCCATGGGTCTGAAAAGCAGGCTCATCTACTTCTAGGGCGACTTAGTCTAGGGCCCATTGGAACAATCCTGTCAGAATATCACATTCTTACACTGAGAATATTTTATGTCCTTTTGCTATGACTGGACACCGATTTGGTCTTGTGTGAAGTGTGATTTGCTTAATGTGACCTGCTCTTCTGAATTTGTTTACAGAAGATCGAAAAGATCACAATGAAGAACAGAAATGCAGAGACAGCAAAAATAAACTTCTTATGAGTCAAGTGGCCTGCTACCTGGACTGCCAGCTGAAGACGGAAGGTAAGTTCAGTCACGAAAGTGATGAAAAATGTCCTGTCTTGTCTATGAAATGGTACATTCTCTTCTTCAAAGTTAATTTCATCCTTCCCATACTTCTAGGAAAACAGCAGTGGGTAATTTAACATTTTGTTAAAGATGGAAGACAGAGGCCAAAATCTTTAGCAACTTTTCAACGTCTGCAGTAAGGCGGGTGTGGGACTAGTGTTAACATCCCAGCTATTGATTCCTGACGCAGGCACAGAACCACCTGCTTTTCTCAGCAAGAGGCTAAATCATGTTTACAGGAATCCTCTCTAGCATATAAAATCCTGCAAAATGTATAAGCAAGATAAAAGTAGACGTGTTTATTTCCAGGTTTCAAGGTGACTGAGTAGTTAAGACCAGTTGACTTTAAGGAGATTGAGAGTGGAGATGAGAAGGGGAAAAGCAGGAAAACGACATCTTCAAATCAATAGGCGAGGCTGTCAGTGACATCCCTCAGTCCTGATTAAACCACTTTGACATCACCAGTTTCTAACCATCATGTGCTTGGGTTTCTTCTCCCCAGTCCCTGGCTTTATGTATTCTTCACCAAACATCAGCAAGGTGGCATCTGGCAGGCCTCCTTCCAGAAAAAACACAGATGTGAACATTCCAGAAGGCATTGAGAAATCCTGCTCCCAGCAGGAAGATAACAAACCGAATGTCGGAGCCAGCAAAAATAGACATCTTCTGAGTCAGGTGAACTACTCCGTGAACTACCGGCTGAAGACATACAGTAAGTTCTATAGGTTGACCACCACAAAAGTGATGAATGATGTCCTGTCTTGTCTTGAGAAACTAACCACTCTCTTCATCAAAATTAATTTCATCCTTCCCATACTTGTAGAAAATAGCAATGGGTATTTTAACATTTAGTTAAAATGGAAGACAGACGCCAAAATATTTAGTAACTTTTCCACATCTGCAGTAAGGTGTGTGTGGGACTGGGGTTATAATCCCAGCTATTGATTCCTGACACAGGCACAGAACCGCCTGTTTTCCTCAGCAAGAGGCTAAATCCATGTTTACAGGAATCCTCTCTGTACCGTATAAGATCCTACAGACAAGTAGCATCTAGTCTGCTGGTCTAAATGTCTGAGGTTACTGAACTTCCATTCAGTTCTGGTTTCTGTTAAAGACCCAGTAGGCAAAGCTGTGTTCTGGGGACCCTGAGGGAAACACAGTGATAGCAGGCAGTACCCACTGTGACGAGCTTAAAGGGAACCCTACTCCTAATAGAACCTGTGGTATCTGTAAGTGGCACCATCAAGAGCAGGAAGTACCCTGGTACTGATGACTCCACCTGCCAATTAGCTGGGATCCCCGGTGGGCACCACCAAATGTGGCTAATTTTTGTATTTTATGAAAAGGCAAGATTTCACCTTGTTGGCCAGGCTGGTCTTGAACTCCTGAGGTCAGGTGATGTGTGTGTCTCCTAAGTTGCTTGGATTCCAAGTGTGAGCCACCATGCTGGCTCCACAGATTCTTTTATAAGTAAATGTTGTTAGAATAAATCTGTTGGTCCAGTCTCCTATATAAATTTCTCTAACCATTCATTGACTTTGATATATGATGAGATAGATCAGTATTGCAGCAACCCTTCTGGAAAGTAGTTAGAGCAATTTTTGAAGATTTTGGGGAAAAAGTTGTAATTATTTGCACTGACTTAGGTCATAGGATATGTGATTAAGATTTAGCAGATAAGGGAGATTTTGTCCCATGGATCTGAAAAGCAGGCTCATCTACTTCTAGGGTGACTTAGTCTAGGGCTCGTTAGAACATTCCAGTCAGAATATCATATTCTTACACTGAGAATATTTTATGTCCTTGTGCTATGACTAGACACTGATTTGGTGTTGTGTGAAATGCGATTTGCTTAATGTGACCTGCTCTTCTGAATTTGTTTACAGAAGATCGAAAAGATCATGATGAAGAACAGAAATACAGACACAGCAAAAATAACCTTATTATGAGTCAAGCGGCCTACTACCTGGCCTCCCGGCTGAAGATGGAAGGTAAATTTTATAGGTTCACCATCACGAAAGTGCTGAATGATGTCCTGTCTTTTCTCTGAGAAACTGAACACTCTCTTTATCAGAATTTATTAAATTTTTCCCATACTTCAAGGCAAATATAAATGGGTACCTTAACATTTTGTTAAAAATGGATGAGAGACCACAATATGTAGCACCTTGTCCCTGTCTGCGGTAAGGCAGGTGTGGGATAGACGGTAAAGTCTCAGCTGTTTATTTCTGACACAGGCACAGAACCACATGTCTTTCTCAGCAAGATGCTAAATCACGTTGACAGTAATCCTCTCTGTACCATATAAGATCCTGCAGACAAGTAGCATCTAGTCTGTTGGTCTAAATGTCTGAAGCTGCTGAACTTCCATTCAGTTCTGGTTTCTGCTGAGGCCCAGTAGGCAAAGCTGTGTTCTGGGGACACTGGGGGAAACATGGTGATGGCACACAGTACCCACTGTGAGGAGCTAGAAGGGGACCCTGCTCCTAATAGAACCTGTGGTATCTGTAAGTGGCACCATCAAGAGCAGGGAATACCCTGGTACCAGTGACTCAGCCTCCCAGTTGGCTGGGATCCCCAGTGGACATCACCACACTTGGCTAGTTTTTGTATTTTTAGTAGAAATGAGGTTTCACCACGTTGACCAGGCTGGTCTTGAACTCCTGAAGTCCAGTGATCTCCCTTCCTGGGCTTCCTAAATTGCTCCGATTCCAGGCATCAGTCACTGTGCTGGCTCCACAGATTCATTTTTATGTAAAGGTTGTTAGAATTCATCCATCGGTCCAGTGTCCTCTACAAATTTCTCTAACCATTTGTTGACCATCATATATCATGAGATAAATCAGTATTGCTGCAATGCTTCTGGAAAGTAGTTAGGGCAATTTTTGAAGATTTTGGGGAAAAAGTTTTAATTGTTTGCTCTGACTTAGGTCAGAGGATATGTGATTAAGATCTAGCAGATGGGGGAGATTTTGTCCCATGGATCTGAAAAGCAGGCTCATCTACTTCTAGGGTGACTTAGTTTCAGGACCAGTAGAACATTCCCGTCAGAATATCACATTCTTTCACTGAGAATATTTTTCATCCTTCTGCTATGACTAGACGCTGATTTGGTCTTGTGTGAAATGCGATTTGCTTAATGTGACCAGCTCTTCTGAATTTGTTTACAGAAGATAGGAAACGGTGCAAGAAGGAACAGAAATACAGAGACAGCAAAAATAAACTTCTTATGAGTGAAGTGGCCCACTACCCGGGCTGCAGGCTGAAGACAGAAAGTAAGTTCCATATGTTCACCGTCATGAAAGTGCTGAACCATGTTCTATGTTTTCTCTAAGGAACTAAAGGCTCTCTTCATCAGAATTAATTTCATTTTTGCCATACGTCTAGGAAAATATAAATTTGTATTTTAACATTTTGTTAAAGACGGGTAAGAGAGGTCAAAGTATGTAGCCACTTTTCCACGTCTGCAGTAAGGTGGGTGTGGGACTCAGGGTAAAGTCTCAGGTGTTGATTCCTGACACAGGCACAGAACCACCTGTTTTTCTCAGCAAGAGGCTGAATCATGTTGACAGGAATCCTCTCTGTACCACAGAAGATCCTGCGGACAAGTAGCATCTAGTCTGTTGGTGTAAATGTCTGAGGGTACTGAACTTCCATTCAGTTCCACTTTCTGCTGAGGCTCAGTAGGCAAAGCTGTGTTCTGGGGGAAATGCGATGGTAGCACATTATACCCGCTATGGGGAGCTTAAAGAGGACTCTGCTCCTTAAATAACCTGTGGTATCTGTAACTGGCATCATCAAGAGCAGGGATGACCCTGGTGAGAGGGACATCCTGCTTTCTGTGCAGAGGCTCTCGTTGGTAAAGAGGAAGAACGACGGCACCCACGACTTTGTGGAGGCAGCAGTGCATAGAGCAGGGACCCTGGGCCAGTCTCCTGAGCTCCATTCAAGTTGCTTCTTTTGTCTGTGACTCAGTTTTGTCATCGTTCATAGGGTACTATGATAACGCCTACCTCTGTCAATTGCTGCACTGAACCAGATGGCCTATTGATTGTAACTCTCCCGGGACAGTTGTTGGCACGGAATAAACACTGTGTATTAGTTCTTCATCCTACTGTGTCTACCATAAGAGAAACTTTATTAGTCTTTGTGCATATTTCCTTTACGGCCTTATGAGAGACTCCAGACCTCCATCCTTCTGCAATGACAGTTTTATCAGTGGTGTTTTCTTCCACTAAACATAGGTGGCCATGACATGACTAGGACTTTCTGAATGAGAACACAGATGGGAAACCCATGGGGTTGGAGGTCACAGTACTGCAAATGTCACTCCTTTCATGATGGATGGTGGTCTTTGGAACAAGGGGCAGCATGTGACCAGTTGTAAAGGACACAAAGGAAGCTGTGACAGGAGGGCGGTTGTTGGAGTGGAAAGAGCTCTGGATTAAGAATGAAGGTTCCCACGCTGTATCTTCAGCAGTGTTTTTAGTAACTGTCAGCGAGCAATTGATTTCTCCTTCCTGACTTTCTGTCTCTCCATCTGCAAAGTCAGGCAAATTTCTCTCTCTCCATCTGCAAAGGCAGATACCTTGCAGTGTCTGAAGCATTCAAATGTGCGAACACTTAACGACCGCTTCTCAAAATGAGATAAAGGCCCTCGCTGTGTGGTGTTGGAGGCAGCACTTGATGTGTGGGCATTTGGTGTTAGGAAGCGGTTGAGACTGGAGCACTCCCTGTGGAGAGAATGTCCCTGAATAACACAGCAGAAGCCACTTGGAGGGCCTGTGAAGTCACCTGATGTGCAGGGGATTGTGGGACAAGTTTGTTTGTCCTCTCCTAAGAGAAAGAAATAGGTTGTAAATATGATCTGTGACAGGACTCCAAGCCTGTCCCTGGGCATCAGATCTGTGTCAGGATGGGGAGACAGCTGCCAAAGTCCAGAGAGAGGCTGCACAAGCCTCCAGTGATGTGGGAGCAGAAGGTCTTTTCAACATTTGGCCTCATCTTGACGGTGAGCCTCCGGATCAGAAACACATTGCCTGGTGGATCAGGAAACCATGCCAGGGCGTTTTGTTAAAGAGAAACCATGAGAGCTTTCAGTAGAACAGGGACCCACGCGCAGACGTTCATGTCCCTGTGCACATTGGGCTGACTGTGCTTGCACAGTGTGAAACGGGAAATATCTGAACGAACACATCTGTACTTGCAGAAAATGACCAAGATGAGGATGAAGATGTTCACATCGCAGAGGCTGAGAAAATACAGGAGTCGCGTGCCCCCAGGTAACGCTGAATAATCAGGAGCAAGTAGTGGTTGGTAAAGTATGGAAAAGTTCTAGAATCTGACCCTCTCTGGCATCTCCTATGGGCCAAAGCCTGCAATCCCTTGGCCACAATATGTTCAGTTCAACCCAACTTAGACACGGGGTGTGGCAGCTGTTGTGGTTCTTTGTATGTGCTGAGTGCCGTATCTGAATTATGCAGGGATAACTGAGTCTCTGCTCTTCTCACCTCCTTTCTGCCCAGTGTGATGAATACCAGATGCTCTCTTTCACTCCGGTTTCCCATGGCAGCCATGCTCTGTTGCAGAGCGTAGGATTGCCTGTTTCCTCTCAAAGGGAACTTCCCATTTGCCTTCTGAGACCCCTCTCTTATTCCTCTTGTGAAAACCAGCTAGGACTTCCTGGGGTCCAATCCCGCTTTGTTTAATCTTCTATCATCTCTATCCCATCTGGTTCATCAGGGAGGCACCAAAGGTTGTTATCAAGAGAGTCCCTGAAGACTCACTGGAGGAATTTGTCATCAGTCATTCAAATAGCTATGGCCCTACTGACTCCAGCCAGCCTCACGGAGAAACCAATGAAATCACAATAGAGGAAAACAAGGTCGACTCTGCACTGGTTGTAGAGAGTCCATCATCTCATGATGTAGTGGAGGATGCTCTAATCATTCTTTCAGATGACCCCTACATTCCTTGTTTCTGGTACCTCTGTCTAGGCTGAGGAAGATCAACTCTGAAGACAGGCTCTATACACACAAATCGGTTTGAATGAAAACCTATCATGGGATACTAAACACAGATATCAGGGAATTTTTATCCCTTCCTCAGCTCATGCCATGCGTTTGTCTCCCAGGCCCAAGTATCAAGTTACCAGACCCCAGGCCACGGTGACAAACTTATGGTCACCTGAGTGCAGGAGGTGTACAGTAGGTGTCTGTCAGGTCTCCTAGCTTTGAGTCGGTATCTCTCACCTCCTGTCATTATGTCATCTGTCCCTGAACGATGTTGATGGAGTTTCCATTTCTTTTTAAGGAAACTGGGAGCCTTGCCTATTTGTTTGGCGATGTTGTTCCCCAGGTTTCACTGCTCGGAGCGTCGGTCTTGATCTCTTTTGAGTCAGCTTGCTTAGCTGCACAGTCACCTTGAAACCAGGATGAAAACATTTCCTCTTTACCTTGCTGATGTGTTTCCGTGAAGCAAGGCTCAGCCCGGCTCTCCACCCCATCAGTGTAATGGCTGGTCTGATTTTTCTTCGTAGCATCACATATTGTTTGCTGTTGTTGGGTTGGAGTCCTTTTTTGTCACCCAGGCTGGAGTGCAGTGGCACCATCTTGGCTTACTGCAATCTGCACTTCACGGACTCTGGTGATTCTCCTGTGTCTGCCTCCTGAGTAGCTGGGACCACAGGTGCTCACCACCACACCTAACTAATTTTTGTATTTTTAGTAGAGACGAGGTTTCACCATATTGGCCAGGCTGGTCTTGAACTCCTAAGTCTAAGTGGTTCACCCACCTTGTCCTTTGAAATCACAGATTTTTTTTTTTTTTTTAAACAGAGCCTCTCTCTCTCTTATTCAGGCTGGAGTTCAGCTGCACGATCTCAGCTCACTGCGACCTCTGCCTCCTGAGTTCAGACGATTGTGCTGCCTCAGCCTCCCGAGTAGCTGAGACTGTAGGCGCGTGCCACCATGCCCAGCTAATTTCTTTGTATTTTTAGTAGAGACAGGCTTTCACCGTGTTAGCCAGGATGGTCCCGACCCCCTGACCTCGTGAAGTGCTCACCGCGGTCTTTCAGAGTGCTGGGATTACAGGCGTGAGCCACCATGCCCGGCCCACAGATTCTGTTTTGTTTGGTTTTGTTGTGTCTTTTTTTATTCCTTCTCCCTAGAGACTGTCCAAAATTGTCAGTGCCGACTCTATTGCATGTCATCACGGCGGGGTATTGGGGAAAGTTTTCAATGAGCAATAATCTCATCTCAGATAAAACTCATTGGCTACGATACTGCCACTGAGCAAAGCTCGCAGATTCTTTTTAAAGCAAGTGTTGTTAGAATTTACATATCTGTCCAGTTTAATGTATAGATGCCTCTGACCATTCTATGACCTTGCTACCTGGTGAGATAAGTCAGTATTGCAGCAACACTCCCAGAAAATAGTTTGACTCATTTTTGGAGATTTTTCTGGGAACAAAATTGGTTTAACTTTGCATAGACTCAGGCAGAGAATATAGCATTATGGTCTACCTGTACAGGGAGATTTTGGCCTGTGCATCTGGAAAGCAGGCTCATCTGCTCACCAGGCTTCATCTAGGGCACCCTGGAATCTTCCTGTCAGAATTTGTATTTTTGCCCTGAGAACATTTCTGTGCTTGTGCTATGACTAAACAGTGATTTGGTCCTATGTGAAGTGTGATTTGCTTAATGTGACCTGCGTCTCTGAATTCATTTACAGAAAGTCAAAGTGATGATGAGGAAGAGGAAGAAAAAGGGCCAGTGCCCCCCAGGTAACGCCGTGGAGTTGTGGGCTGTTAGTTCAATAGTGACACCTGGAGACCACAGATCCAGGGAAAACGGGGAAGTGATGACTAGAACCCTTTCTTCCATTCACCCAGCTACAAATTGTCCTTATTGACAGTGTTGTGGGTGATTTGTGGCACTTGTGTAGGTTTTAATTTCTTAGTCCTCCCAAGATAGGAGCCTGCAATCAGATGAGCCAGGTGAACTCAGCAAACAGGGATTTCCTGGTTTCTCCTGTTCTCTCCCATGTGTTTAATTCCAGGGAGAGACACATATATGCTTTCTGCCCATTTGTTGTGAGCATGTTTGCTAGGATTTGTGAAGAGAAGAAATTCAAAACATAGACATATTATATCAAAATACTGGAAAAAGGAGGCCCTTAATACATAAGATCTGGGTGTCTGAAATGCCTCAAGAGCTCTGTGCACTTGAATGCCACATGTAATATTCAACACAACTTATGCCACATAGTTGAAGCCCCGTGTTAGTTCTCGTGCTGCATTTCATGGTGAGAGTTTACAGGGAGTCTGGGTGGCCTGCAGTGGCTCATCTGTGCAAATGCACTGAGCACCTGCTGCTCATTTGTGCTCTGTCCCCGGGGTAGTCACCCTCTGCCCTGCATTTAGAAGGATAGTTTTTTTTCTCTTAGAGGAAAAATGCCTTTGCTTTCTGTGACCACTCCATTCTGACTTCCATCAGATCAACTGGGAGACTTTGTTGTCTAATCTCTGTTGGTTTAATCTTCTGTCACCCTGTCCTGCCTGGCTCATCAGGAATCTGCAGGAGTCTGTGGAGGAGGAAGCCCCCCAGGAGTCCTGGGATGAAGGTTATTCAACTCTCTCAGTTCCTCCTGGCACATCTGCCTTCAGTGAGCCTTACAGGAGCAACTTACACTTATTAGAGGAGCAGCAGGTCGACTTGGCTGGTGACATAGACAGTGAGTACTCCACTGTGAAGGCGATAAAGCTCCATTTTCTGTCCTAGATAGACCCCATAGTCTTTGTGCATTGCTCCCCTGGCTGGGCTGAGAGTTGTCATCACTGTGGGCTGAACCTGTACATCAGAGTAGATTTCGATCACTCTGGATTCCAGTCTGAAGCACGGACACGGGGGGGGGTCAGTGAGCTTTGCTCTCTCTCTAGTCTCAGGCCGTGCCCGTTGCACCCTGGACCGACTGTCAGGACATTGAAACCCAAGGCCGGTGTTGCAGACGCACACCAGGGTATGCAGCGCATGCCCATGAGTTGTCTGTCAATCTGAATTCAATGTCTCTTGCCAGCTACCAAGTTCCTCATGAGTTTTGTTCCCCAAGCATGTCTGTGAGGTTCTTCCCTGCTTGTACAAACTTGGTGTAACTGTTTGTACAAACTCGGGATAAAAGGATAATGGTCTACCAGAATAGGGACATTTCACCATTGGTTCTGAGACACAAACCAAGGAATCTCTAGCATGATTGGCCTTGAGACCTCCTGAAGTCCATCTCTCACATTATCCTGTTCTCATGCTGGGGAGCCTGAGGTCTCTGTGCAGGGATTAGACAGTGGACTGTTATGGGTGTAGGGGAATTGGCTTATTTTGTCTGTCCCTGTCTGAATTTATTGCAGAGATTAAAAATGACCAAGAAAGAGGAAGAAGACCAAGGCCCACCATGCCCCAGGTAACTCTGAGCAATTGTGAACAGCTAATTATGTGTTGACACCTGGAGACGCCAGGTCCAGGGAAAACAGAGTGGGCTGACAATATCGATACCGTGTTTTCAACGAAGCCTGAACTATTCCTACTAACACTGCTGTTGGTTTTCACTGCAGTATATATTTAGGGTTCCATTTCTTCCTCCCATTTTCATGTACTAACTACTGTAGGTTGACCATACTTGTTTTTATGATCAGTGTACGCTGTGTGTCCTGAGGGCACTAACTCAGAGTGTCCTTTTACTCCCTCATCAGTGTGTCACCTGGACGGCTCACTGAGCTTACTTTCTCTCTCTCTCTCTTTCTTTGTCTTTTTCTCTCTTTCTCTTTCATTCTTTTTTACCCTACTCTTGCCCATCCCAACATAGGGTAATAATTTGTTACGTCATTAATGGATCTATGTTTTTTCTTTATTAACCACTTTCTTGCGCTACCCATGAAATCTAGTTCAGGCTCTGCGGTCTTATTTTCCCTGACTTATTCTTTGGTTTTTCTCCTTTTCTAGGCTCAGCATGGAGCTGGTGGAAGCAGAAGAGCCTGAAGTCTTCCGGTACTCACTGGATATATTGCATTCAATGTATACAGCTTATCCTGAGTTTTTTTACACCTGCCAGACTTACACATATGCCATTTTTTTATTTGTAGAAGAGCATGTTTGCTTGACTTTGGACATGGGCAGTAGGTTTCTTACTATGACGGTGATAGGACTCCACCTGGTCTCCCAGATAGGGGTCATATTCCCACACTAAGACAACATGTCACCTGGGACTCTGTCGGTGCAGAGTATGAACAACACCATGTTCTTGCTGAAAACACTTAGCCTGAGTTTCATAGCCTGAGGTAATCTCCAGACAACTTCAGAATGTAGAGCAGTGAGCAGCACGACTGACCTGTCTCCTTCAGACAGCCCATGTCACCACAAATCACACAATTAAAAGGAGAAAGGACATTTTGGGTTGAAAAAGAGTCAAAAGATAATGTAGCTACATTGATTTAGGTCTTTTGAACCCAAAGTGTCTCCTCACCTTTTTGTTGTTGTCATTGATGGTGGCGACATGAGTTTGTTTGTAGAGGACATGTCAGCTGTCTGGCTCAGTGGTCTACACTCTGAAGTTGTCTGAAAATGTCCTTATGATTAAATTCAGCCTAAGTGTTTTTCCGGGAACACTGCAGGGTCAATGCTACCTCACCCATCTGCAGGCAGAGACGGTCCCGTGTGTATCCCACCATGATCGTGGTACCAGGACTATTCCACCATTTGTCTACGACCATGATCGTGGTACCAGGATGGTTCCACCATTTGTCTATCACCATGATCATGGTACCAGGGCTATTCCACCATTTGTCCACCACCATGATAGTGATGCCAGGACTGTTTCACCATTTGTCTATCACCATGATCGTGATACCAGGACTGTTCCACCATTTGTCTATCACCATGATCGTGATACCAGGACTATTCCACAATTTGTCTATCACCACGATCGTGGTACCAGGACTATTCCACCATTTGTCTATCACCATGATCGTGATACCAGATCTGTACCTTTCAGAGACACCTTATTTATACTGAAGTAATTGGAAAAATGGTTTTAAAAAGTATTAATATCCTGGATTCAGATGATCATCCCCTAAACATTTTATTATTCGTTAATCATCCCTGGCTGTGCCAGTTATTATATTTATATCGCTATACTAAAAATTTTCAATTTTTACTGTATCTTTGCTTTTGCTAGTTTCTGTTGTTGAAAAAAAAATTTCCATGCCTGCATTTTCATTTTTGCCAAAGTTAATTTTAATATATACCATTAAAATTTTTTGCCTTAAGATAAGACCGTCAGCACCTAAGGCCATAGCAAAGCAGATTTTGCTAATTTTTAAGCCTTTGTTAATTTCTGGCTGCCAAGAGACGTAGTTTACTTAGTTAGCTGCTAATACCTATTTAAGTGAGCAACCAGGGATATGTCAATCAGACTAAGGATATGCAAAGCCCAGGCCATTCTGTTTGAGTCTTTTAAACTATTTCAAAAGAGAGGAGAATAGGCAGGTTCCACATATGTGGACAGGAAGGAGAATACACTAAAAGACACAAACAACTATTTCCCAAAATAGAATAGAAAATTAGATTTGAATAAACATCCACCATTAACATTCATAAAACATTTTCTCATGAAATGTAATCTGTCTTAACTTACCCATTATAGGAAAGTCAATTCTTAATATACCACACTACATTGACTGTCGACATTCATAAGAACATATTTCCAAGTTTATTATTTGAGAAAGCAAATGGACTATAATCCTTTTTTTTTGCAGTGATCTTTTTAAGATTGATGATTTTTTTTCAAAGTAAAACCAAAGATTTTAAAGACTGAAAATGGCATTAAAATTTATCTTCTCAATGTAATGATGTTTAACTCAGTCTATCTTATTCCTGTTTATAGCAATTTTTTTCCTGTTTGTGCTATTTTTTCCCAATATTCCCATCCCCTGCTATCCTTCCCTCACCCCCCACCCTCAACAGACCATTGTTCAACATTTTTGTATCAGTGAAAACATGTGGTGTTTGGCTTCCTGTTCTTGTGTCAGTTTGCTGAGAATGATGGTTTCCAGCTCCATGCATGTCCCTGCAAATGACATGAACTCATCCATTTTTATGGCTGCATAGTATTCCATGGTGTATATATGCAACTTTTTCTTTATCCAGTCTGTCATTGATGGGCATTTGGGTTGGTTCCAAGTCTTTGCTAGTGTAAACAGTGCCAAAATGATCATACGTGTGCATGTGTGTTTATAATAGAAGGATTTATAATCCTTTGTTTATATACCCAGTAATGGGTTTACTGGGTCAAATGGTATCTCTTTCTAGATCCTTGAGGAATCACCACACTTTCTTCCAAAATAATTGAAGTAATTTACACTCCCACCAACAGTGTAAAAGCATTCTTATTTCTCCACATCCTCTCCAGCATGTGTTGTCTCCTGATTTTTTTAATGGTCGCCATTCTAACTGGCGTGAGATGGTATCTCAATGTGATTTTGATTTGCATTTTTCTAATGACCAGTGATGAAGAGCATTTTTCGTATGTTTATTTGGCCACATAAATGTCTTCTTTTGAAAAGTGTCTGTTCATAGACTTTGCCCACTCTTTGATGGGTTTGTTTTTTCTTGTATATTTGTTTTAGTTCTTTATAGATTCTGATTATTAGTTTTTTGTCAGATGGGTAGCTTGCAATTTTTTTTCCCCATTTTGTTGGTTGCTGGTTCACTCTAATGATTGTTTCCTTTGCTGTGCAGAAGCTCTTAAATTTAATTAGATCCCATTTGTCTATTTCTGCTTTTGTTTGTAGTGCTTTTGGTGTTTAAATCATGAAGTCCTTGCCTATGACTATGTCCTGAATGGTATTGCCTAGGTTTTCTTCTTGGGTTTTTTATGGTGTTAGGTCGTATGTTTAAATCTTTAATTTATCTGGAGTTAATTTTTGTATAAAGTGTAAGGAAGGAGTCCAGTTACAGTTTTCTGCACATGGCTAGCCAGTTTCCCCAACACCATTTATTAAACAAGGAATCCTTTCCCCATTGCTTGTTTTTCTCAGGTTTGTCAAAGATCAGATGGTTGTAGATGTGTGACGTTACCTCTGAGGCTTCTGTTCCATTGATCTATATCTCTGTTTGGTACCAGCACCATGCTGTTTTCATTACTGTAGCCCTGTAGTGTAGTTTGAAGTCAGGTAGTGTGATGTCCCCAGCTTTGTTCTTTTTTCTCAGTATTGTCTTGGCTACGTGGGCTCTTTTCTGGTTCCATGTGAGGTTTAAGTTTTTTGTTTTTCAGTTCTGTGAACATTGCTCAAGGAGATTAAAGACCTAAGTAAGTGGAAAGCTATCTTGTGTCCATGGGTTAAAAGATGTAACATGGTTAAGATAAAAATACAACTCAAAGCAATCCACAGATTCAATACAACTTGATCAAAATGACTCTTTTTACAGGAATGGCTGAGAAGGACTTCATATTCCTAAGAAACAGCAAGTGTATCCCCAAATCAAAAGCAATCTTGAAATGCAAGAAGGAACATCCTCTATTCCAAAGGTCTTTGTTCTCAGCAATACCTGGTGGTCTTCAATATACAGGCTTTCACATCTTTTTTTTTTTTTTCTCATTCATTTCTAGACAGGATCTCACTCTTTCTCTCAGGCTGGAGTACAGGGGCACAGCCCCAGCTCACTGCAGCATGGAATTCTCAGACCCATGAGATCCTAGGGCCTCATCCACTGAGCACCTAGGGCTACAGGCTCACACTGCCACACCTGGAGAATTTTTATAGTTTTCAGTAGAGACAAGGTCTCACTATGTTGCCCAGGCTAGTTTTAAATTTCTGAGCTCAAGCAACCCTCCTGCCACAGCCCTCCAAGTTGCTGGGATTTGAAGCTGAGCCTGGCTGGCTTTCACATCTTTATTTCCTGATGTTATTGGAAATGTTTAAAGTAATCTTTAGAAAAAATTTTTATTAAAATTGTATATGTAAGGAATTCTATATATTTACATATATTTAAGGAACAGAACCTGAGGATCATATACATACACATATACATATACATGTACATATACATATACATAATGAACCAATGCCTACTAGGTGAGGGGCTGCCTTGTGAGCAAACCCAAGGGCCCTGGCTCATGAAGCCCTTGGCTAAAAAGGTGGAGGGATCAGCCAGGTGGGCACACAGCAGATTTCTTGTTTTCTTTTGGCAAATACACAAATATCAGCACCCGCTCACTGGAGTCTCTGACAGTCCTGACCAGGCTTCGTGATGGGTGAGGTGGGCTGGGAATGGGAAAGTGGATGACCCCAGACCTAGAGACTGCCGCTGTCACCTGGGCACCTGTAATAGGCATGGAAGAGTCTCCCACAGATTTGGGCCTGGATCAATGCCCAAAGATGCACAAGGACAGGACTCTCGGCCTGGATGTTTGCAGAGCTCCCAGTCTTCTAAAGAGGCTGGTGGTGGGGAAGAAGGTTCAACAAAACAGAAGATTCTGGGTACTCTAGCTTGGCAACAGAATACTTCCCTGTACTACTAAATGACAATATCTGACATGATGAATGACACACTTGAGCAACAGCTTTCACTGTTTCACTAGCAGTGTCTCCGGACCACTAGGGTAGTGCTGTCGGATGTTGACTGAAACGTCAGTGGTTCAAGCCCATCAGTCACATGAATGTTTCTAGCTGACATGATCTTGCATCTGAAGAGTCTCTTCCTTGGACCAAATATATCTTAAAACTTCTCTTCTTCTTGTCTCTTGTCTATTTTCCAAAGTGCCTCTTTGTTGCTTGGAGCAAAAACAGTCCATTTTAAATCTACATCCAACAAACATCTTCCCTTACTTATCCTAGTGTTTAGGGTTTTGAATTTGTTTTCTTAGCTGCTCATATTTGGAACACTGGAAATTCCTAAAATGGAGAATGATGGAACGTGAGCCACACCTCTGGTGAAGCCACAGACTCTGGGGGAGAAACCTAATCTGCCAACGTTTGAAGTTAACATATTAATTTTCTGTGCCTCCATTTCTATATGTCACATGCACTAAACCAGAATACTCAGGCTGTCCAATGTTTAAATGAGCTGTGCAGGAAAAGCGTGGAGTCCAATGCCTGTCACATAGTAATTATTCAATATACGTGAGCTCCCATCAGCACCGTTGCCTCCAGCATTTCCATCAGGCTTTGATCTTTTATACACCCTTCTTGATACAAGTGGAGCATTCTTCAAACCTTCTCTAACTGATGGCCATGAAATTGCTCCAATGTGTATTATTACAAACACAACTGCAGGGATCAGACCGACACATAGATCTGTCATGCATCCCCCGTCTACTTCTCCACAGATACCTGAAAATGGAATTGCCAGATTAAGGTATTTGTACATTTCTGATTTTGCTAATTTCTGTCTAAATTGCTGTGAAAAGAAGATACAACAAGTCACATTTTTAACATTTTGTGAGAAGTCTTTTTTTCTCCATTTTCTGGCCAAAACTGGGTAGCACTTGCCTGCCATTTCCTCTGAACTTCCTTTTGCCAACATTTCTGTAGTCATACAGTGGGAACATGTTTTATGCATGATATCAAACTCAAATCCTTAAATGAAAAGGGATTAACATGACTGTACACAAATTTATATTCAAAATACAATTGATATAAATATGTGTATGTAAATATATGGCACATAAATACATGGCAAAAAATTTTTTATTTAAGATACTTCATCAAAGTTACATATACTTGAAAATTTGTTTAGTAAAACCGCAGTC